TATTTATGGCTTTAAATATCTTTGGTTTCTTGTGCCAAACACTTGGTATACAAATATTAACACTTTTAACATGTTTGAGTCAGAGTAACAATGTCACCAAATCTTATATGATGAATTAACTCTTAATCAGAAGAAATAAATGTCCTATACTACACAGTCATTGGCCAAAACAAGTCTTTTCTAATGACTTATGAAATAAGGCAGAAAACATAGTGAATAAAAAAATGGGATGAGAGTGAAAGAATTAATTTTGACAAGTGCCAAATTTGAAACTCTGGAGAACTAAAATTATATTCTTGTGGATGCCACAATTCTAAAAGCCATTTCCTTGTTATACATTCCTCTTTCCGAAGTAAAACAAATTCACCCCTCTCCTATCTATTATTTCTCACCTATAATTATTTCTTACATATAGATATCATTCCACAGGGCAGGGGGACAGAAAAAGGGGAAACTGCGGATTGCAATTTCCAGATCTTGTGGTGTCAAACGGCTTGCTGAAAATGTCAGTTACTCATAGAATGGTAGGATAGAGCTGATTGTGCAAGCTCTTCCTTTCAATATAAGGCAGCATGGCTGAAAAATCATGGTCCAATGACCTAGAATGAAGTTGTAGTTGCATATAAAATATTGATTGTGCTAGGTGGAAAAAAGACACTAAATGTCTTACACAGAAGTATAACACACAAGAATGTGTTGGTCTTGAACCTCATTCCTTGTGGGTAAAAACGCCAGGCACTCAGCTTGTGCAGAGGTGTATTTTCTGCTTTCACCTGAAAGGTTGTTGACACTTGCATTAGGCCACGAAATTCGTCACCTTAGCATTGCACATGTAACCTGAGAACTTTGGAAATGATGAGATGCAGCATGTAGCTTTTCCCCTGGACATATTGAGTGAAAAGTAATTTGTTTTGATTGACACTTCACTGTTAAAACGTGGCACTTTATAATACAGAGAAACAGTTACAGTAAATGGTTTCTTACACCTCTGCTGCAAAACATGCTTAAACATGCAGATGCTGTTACAAAATTTTTTGTTCAAACAAAGGCTTAGAGAAAAAGCAATCAGAACACAATTGCATAGGGAAAGAAAGGCAAAATAGCCCCACTGTTAGAAAAAACTCTGGGAACTTTGTTTAAATAATAAAGGAATTACTACAACTTTCTGCTGAGGTTTTTCAGTGCGCAGGGACAATGCTTTCCTTATTCTGATACTGGAATTCCAGTGGCCGTAGTTTGAATAATGTACAGAATGGATAGAGAGTAACAAAAGTCTTTCATGTGTTTCATTAAAGCAGAAAAAAAAACCCACCCAAGAAAAACAACTGTATCATTTGAAAAAAATAACTGAGGAAAGCATTTTTTTCCTCCCTTTAGTGAAGAGATTGTTTTCTTTAAAAAAGCCTTTGTTGACAGCCTCTCAAATTGCATTAAAAGTCCATACTTTTCTTTCTGGGAGAAGAAACTTGAATTAAGGTTATTTGGAGTTTCTGCTGTTGTAATCTGAAAGGGTTTTTTCTTGTGTCAGTAAAGGATGAACACAAAAGCAGAAGAGTCAGTAAATTCAATTGTACAGTCTTTCTGTAGTGCTAACTCTAATATGCAATTCCATTAATGAAAGAATGTGACCCCATTATACAATGTTATTTAATCTGTGGATTGTGTTACCGGTTTGGGGGCCATTTAAAACTCTGCTTCTCGTGGTTTGTCTGGTCCTAGCCAAACAAGAGAGTTCCAATATGTTAGGTTGCCCTCACAGATTCATTTAAGTACATGGGTATGCAGTATTTTGTAAAGAATGTAAAACAAGCCTTGGGCTTATCTTCATGCTAATGCAGCTACATGTCCCCTCACTCAGAGCTTCCTTGTGTCCAACCAACTGGAATATATAAGAGAAAATACCTACAGGCACAGTAAAAAAAAATAAAAAATCCCACACTACAGCTTTTCTTTTCTTCAACATTTAGCTTCTTTCTGGTCTCACTGTATTTGGATGATGATATAACAGTGTTTTTGTGTATCTTAATTTCTGCAAGAAACAGTAGCGTTGCTGCTTTCAAAATAATGCTCACTTTTTCCTGCTTAATGATGCAGATAAGTACTTTTCAAAAATCTGTGAACTCGCTAACTCACACCATCCAAAAGAAAACTTATCTCTTTCAAGTGGGCCATTACATATTTTTTTATAGATTTAAATAAATCTGTGTATCATTCAGTGTGGCACTAATTTGCTGCTTTCATAAACAACTGTAAAGGACAGGCTCAGTTGGACTTCTGTTACTTTGGATAACCATATCTGCCCCTGGCCACTGTGATCTGATGTCACTATTAGACAGCTTTATGTGGGTGGGTAACGAGTGGTGTGCAAAACATCCGAGTGTTCTGCAAAGCTGGCTGTCTTCACTTTTTTTTTTTTCAAACTTGTATTTCTTACCAAATTTTTTCTTTATGGAGTTACAACACATTTATATAAATACTGTGAGTTCCAAATGGATAAAAGGAGAGAAAAGAAAATCACTAAGAAGTTAATTAAGGAATGCAAAAGCTTGCCTGTGCAGGCTGTAGAATCTTCACCCTTAGGGCCTTTTGAGACCAGGCTGGAGAAAGTCCTGAGTGATGTGGTTGGATTTTAGTGCTGACCCTGCTTTGAGTAGAAGACTAGACTACAGATTGCTGCAAAAGGATCTCTTTCCTTTCTAACCTGAATGAGTCTGTAGTTCTGACTCATACTAGTATTACTAAAACACTTCCTTTGAAATTTCCCTGTGTATAAGCAAAGAACTTAACTGTGAATTTCAACACAAAAACATGATGCATTGGCGTTGAAGAACTCTATTGTTCAAGAATCTACAAATTTAACATCTTGGAAAGCAAAAAGAAGATAACATATTAGTCATCTATGTTGCCTGTTGACATTAGGGGAAGAGAAAGGGCAATTTTTTTTTTTTTTTTTGCATTTAGAAAAATCACATGCACATTTTTATCACCTTGACTCGCACGATACTATGTTAAACCTCTGCTTTAGAGATGTTCAGCTTCAGCAGCCTGGTCTGTCAGAGTGAAGAGACTTCAAAAGAGTTTTTATCTTTCTTTGGGGGGGATTCTGTGCTAGGAGGGAAAGGTGGGATGAACAGTCATCAGATATCAGAATTATTTCAAGTGAAATTTTTCTTGTCCCTTGTTGAGTGTAACTAAAAAGTACATATTTTTCTCAGCCTTTTCTGAGCGGAACTGAGAAGAGCGTTTCTTAGTTCTGAAAGGAAAATATATTTGAAGTTATATAATTGTTTCACCATCTGGTGAATGATGTGCAGATTAATAATTGGAATGTACCTAGAGAACTAGAAGGGAAACAGGGAAGTTTGGTTTGCCTACAATTTTCACAGACCTGCTGCATAAAAAGTTGTCTGAAGTCATTACCCATGAGTGAACGCAAAGTCAGGCCAATTTAAACAGGATGCTGCAGAACAGCCACCACAGACTTGCTTTTGCAATCCTCATCCTCCCATCTGCTACAATTGCATGTTGACCAGCATATCCCAGAAAGTCTTCTGGAGTTTATACAAACCACAAGTCACACACAGAACTGGCTAGGCTGGTCAGTGTTACTTTTAAAGTTTTAACAGTCTTAGAAAAACCAGTACTGCTGGTGTTATCGAGAAAGTACACTGCTCTGTTTGTGCAGTATGTTAATTATTCCACCTGTTTCCAAGTTCATAGGTATTTCCCAGCTTATCCTAATGACAGCAACAAAAATGCATTAATGGATCCTGTAACCAATTGCTCCTACATTTCTGCTTTTCTCCTAGATCCTTTTTAAAGATTGTTTTTCAGCCAGCTCCTTCCCGAACTCATTTGGATGAGTTTGGACTGTCATCTGATGTACTGAATGAGACCCCTGTGACCACCCACAGTGGCCAGATCTTTTCCCAAATTGCCAGTGTTCAGTCATGAAGTAAGCACGGCCTAAGACCCTCCAGGTGTACTGCACATATGGTGCCAGGTCCGTCATGACTCTTCAAGAAACAGAAGGGGCCTTGAGGTCTTTATAGACTGAAGGGCTTGTTTTTTTCTATTGAAAGCTACAAGCAGCAGCCATTCCCCTGTTCAGCAGGTACACTGCACAGCCTTCCAAACATGTTTTCCCTGTGGTGGCTTCAGTGCCCCCCAGCGCGGGGCCTGCAGGCTCTGCACAGCGGCATCGGGCTAATGGCTCTGTGGGACCCACGGCCAATGGCAACAGTGACACAGCCAGGTGATGCTTTTGCCAGCCAGCAAACAGCTAATGAGATGGGGTAAAACCTGAGATTTCATCAGTCAGGGTTGGGGATTCCCCCCTTTTTGAGATCACAACGCTTGCCCTCCGAAGCAAGGCAGGTTTGGAGCAGCCCCTGTGGATGCAGTGGTTACTGGCTGGGATCTGCCTCCGTCCTGTCTGCTCGTGCTGCAGGACCCGTCCCGGGTTGTCACTGTGGCCAAGCTCCACCTTGCCCAGACACCCGGGCAGCACTTCATGACTACTGACACCGGTGAGGTGTCAGAACCTCGCTGGTCCGTCAAGTGTCTTCGGCTAAAGGCTGAGCAGAGACCAGTTCTTAGGATGTGGTCTGAGGAAAAGCTCTGAACTGTTGGATGGAGGAGGGTTTTATCTCGCTATGAGGCATCCTTTGGGACGCGGCCAGGGCACACTGTGTTGAGGGGCACCCTTTGGGACGTGAGTGGGGCACGCCGTGTGTGTGAGGGGCACCCTTTGGGACGTGAGTCCGGCACGCTGTATCTATGAGGGACACCCTTTGGGACGTGAGTGGGGCACACCGTGTATGCGAGGGGCACACCATGTACTTGACCGCACGAACCACCCCGACCGCCAACTCCCCTTCCCGCCCCGCCGCGAACCCCTCCCACCACCTCCCGGGGCTGCGTCAGTCTCGCGAGACTTGAGGCCTCAGGCCCCGCCTCTGCTCTCGCGCGATTTGCCCCTGCGCGGCAGTCGCGCTGCGATGGCGGCGCCGGGCTGTGGAGAGCTGCGGCTGGGGGGGCCGGGCGGTGCCCCGGGGCCGCTCCCGCCGCTCCCCGGCGGTGTCCCGGGGCCAGGGGCTGTCCCGGGGCCGCTCCCCGGCGGTGTCCCGGGGCCGGGAGCTGTCCCGCCGCACCCCGGCGTGTCTCGGCGGCGCGGGCGGACGCTGCTGGTGCGGCACCTGCCCGCCGAGCTGACGGCGGCGGAGAAGGAGGATCTGCTGCAGCACTTCGGGGCGGTGTCTGTGCGCGTCCTGTCGGACCACGGGCGGCTGGTGAGGGCCGGGGCCGGGGCAGGGCCGAGCCGGTGTGCCGGGCGGTAGAGCGGCGGGCTCGGCGTTCCGCCTCCCCTGTGCCCCGGGCCGCGGCTGCGGCCTCGCTGGCTGTTAGAGAGGGGCTGGGGAAGAGCAGTGCAGGCAGGTGTAGGGGTGCACTTTCACAGGTGTGTCTCTAGAAATCTCTGGTTTTTTTTTTCCAAGTTACAAAAACACGGGTGTATCTGTTTGCTGACAGATGCTGTTTGGAAAGAGCCTTGTATTCCTGCAGAGCTGCAGATGAATGATGCCTGCATCATCTGTCAGGGTCACGCTTTCTTTATAGGATAACAAAAATCCTGACTTTGTTATAATAATTTTGGGTACCAAGTCACGTAGTGGCAATGTGAAGTAATACAGTTTGTTAAAACAAATATAAATTCGAGATGAACTGTGTATTCTGTGCAGCTTTGATTTATTTTGAAAAGCTTGCATTCTTTTAAAACCTAAAAAGTAGAGGAAATTGTTAGAAACCATTCAAATGTTCAGAGCATAGCAATAGTTGCAACTTTTGTAACAGGAATAGTGTTACTTTTAGAAATTGCTTTGATGAAAAGGTGCTACTGTGAGGTGCTGAAATAAATGTCTTGTCTGAAAAGAGGATTAGACCTCTTTACCCACGTGTATTTTCTTGCAGTTTAGGATGGGTTTTGCTCATAGGAAAAAACCTTTTCCTGTGTTCCTCAAACTGCTGAGCTCTTGTCTTGATTTTTGACTGCAGGTGGTTCATCTCCTAAATTCTTAAGAAAAATGTTTTCTAGTCCTCCATGTTTGCTCCATGTGGGAGTTAGGTGACTACTGTCTTGGAAGCTTTCAAATATGTAAACTTGAACTCACAGATTTCTTGTGGGCGTATATTTTACATGCAATCTCAACTTTTTGAATGCTGTATAATATTTATATTAGATACAGTATTTCTGTTTGTTTGTTTTCTAGAAACATACTGCTTTTGCCACCTTTCCCAGTGAAAATGCAGCTGCAAAGGTTTGTATTGATTTTGTTATTGAATGGTTTGGCAAAGCTCTTTTCTGGATTGCCAGTTGTGCTCTAAAATGTTTTGCACGTCATCTAGTACTCAGTGCTAGGAAAAAACAAAGCGGCACAACGTAGTATTAGAGTTCTGGTTCGGGATTTGCTCGCAGGACTTGATGAAATGAACACTTCCCTAGATTCCTAAGGAAGGTGGGTTGAAAAGTGCTTATGGAAGTCATGTGATCCAACCTTTCACATAGAGCATCGCAAACTTAGAGGAGCTGAGGTTGATCAGGGCACTGTCAAGGATGTGTGTGCATTTATATACAAACTAAACCAAATATAATTTTCTTCTTTCCTGCATAATTTTATATATTTGCCATAAAATTCTCTAGTGATGTACACAATTCAAGGCTACCTTGAATGCCCAACTTTGATTAGAAAACTACCACATTAGTGAGGGACTTAGATGCCAAAAGGCAATGCTAATAATGCTTTTTAAATACTAGTCTGCTAAAAAACCTGTGTCTAGAATTCCCCCTTATGCTCTGGTGTTTGGTGTTGGGTTTTTTTTTGCATTGCTTCTAATTTTTTTAGGCCACAGTTTAGAGAAGTACTCAAAAAGTTACAAAGACTGTGTGAGGTGAACACTGGTGAACGAGGTTACTTGTGTCAGTTGTTAGCAGCCTGTTGTGTTCTGGACTTGCAGAATGCTGGATATTTCTAGTGTCACTATTAAGAATCTTGATCTTAAAATTCCCAGTTATTACTAGGGGAGTTCAGCATGTTTGTAGTTCGTGAGCAAGAGGCTTGAAGTCACAGAGATATATTAGTCTGTGTAATAAGTATCATGCTAAAGCTGCAGTCCTGCTGCTGTGTTCAGATGACCAACTCTGCTGTGGTTCTGGCTGTGCAACCTCGACTCTTCTGCCAGCAGGAAAGAGGCACTAAAGGCAGGGCTGTGAAGGCAGAGACAGTGCAGGACTGCCTGTGTCCCTCGTGGCACACTTAGCTTAAAGCAGCTGGGACTGCACCCTATGGCTAATTTGCCAACCAAAGGAAAACCAGTTATGCTTTAGAATAAATCTCATGTTTTTCCTCTTCCCTTTCTTTCTTTTCTCCACTAAAATTTACTTGAAGGCTTTATCAAGGCTGCATCAGCTGAAACTTTTAGGTCACACCTTAGTTGTTGAATTTGCGAAGGAGCAAGAGAGTGTACAGGTCCTTAGCCAGCCTTCTGTGTCAGAGAAGTGTAAAAGGTATGTGCATAATATAGTTATGATTGTGGAAATTCCATACTCATGATACTTTGGTAGTCCTTTTAACTCAAAGGAAAAATTGTAACCACATAGAAGTGTTAACAAGGAGGTTCAGATCCACGGTTAATGACTGCATTCCTCCCATTAGAACTGTGTCGTTACCTCTGGAATATGGAACTAAGTGATAAAAGCTATGTGATAGTGTTTAATTAAAACAACTGTAATAGAGGTTTCAAGTTACTTATTCCACTCTCTGAATGTGAACAAATCAATAATTAATACCTTTGAATTTTTACAGTCTGAACAGAGCACAGCATGAAATCATTTCAATTCTTTTCCTGTGAGTAGATTTAAGTCAGGAGTGCTTTAAAATAGGGAGGCTTACTTAAATCTACATAAGTACTTATTTTAGAAAACTGGCTACTATAATTGTCCACATGTATTAATTCTGAAGCATTGATAATGGCTGTAGTAATACAGATAAAGATGTTAAAAATACCTATGTTAATCTATTTCTTGTATTTATTAATAGATAATGCCTATTTTATGAGGCATTTAAATTTTGCCCTCTTTTAATTTAAGATTAATTAATTAATTTTCAGTTCAGAAGAACCAGTGAAAGAAGAAGAGAAGGTAGAACCAAGCTGTGTTAAAATAGAGAATGGAATTGCACCGAGCCATGGGTTAGTGTTTTTTTTTTATTTGTCTTAATTATTTTATTCTGTTACAGGTTATTTTGAAATGTGTTATGTACTGTTGGACAAGAGTTTTGTTTCCTAGTATGCTCCTGTTCCACAGGCACAGCTGTAGGAGTTGTCATAAAGATGAAGTTTCAGTTCCTCAAGTTTAGAATCCTCACAGTCAAGTAGTGACTGGTGCTCTGAGCTGAGAAGCTGTGGATTGCACAGTAGCCCTCTGGCACTAAGCACTGTTTTCTCAGGAGGAGTCTGAGGGCTGGGTGGGTTGTCCCAGTGTTAACAGCAGAATACAAACTGATTTTTGGTTTTCCGGATGCTGCTGCTTCTTCCCCCCCGCCCCTGCCCTGTCCTTGGCATTTTTGCATACATGAAGAATAAATTTTTTGGAGGCTAATAAATTCAGCACTCTTGAGTAGTGAGTTTATGATGTTGGCACAGTCTGCTTTGAGTTTGGGTGCTTTCAGGTTTGGATGTGTTGATTGTTTCTGTGCACTTTAGGCTCTGTGCTTAGGTTGATACTTTCATTGTGCCCGGCACAGTAAGTCTGTCACGCACTGGGGACTACTCCCTGGTGTTAAAGACAATGTAAGGGGCCCAAAGCTGTTCTAGAGGAAATAATAATATTTCAGTGTTGCTTTAGATGTAATGAATAGTTAAGCCTCTAGTAATCATTAAGTGTTACCAGTGGCAGTGGTGTTAAATTGTCATGTTTTTAATTTTTTTCCTCAGCCTCACCTTTCCCATCAATTCCTGCCTCAAATATTTGTACCCACCACCTTCAAGTGCAATTCTAGCAAATATAGCAAATGCCTTGGCAAGCGTGCCCAAATTTTATGTCCAGGTAAGTAAAAAAATGGAAAACAAAATTAAGTGTACAAAAAATCAAATCTCATTTTTCCTCTTTCAGTTATGCACAGAAATTATTATTTTTGTCATAGTAAATAAGTTACTTTTTCTGTGATAGTGTTAATCAATCTTAATTTTTTACTATGTTGACATAATAAGATTTTATTGACCCAGAGGTAGCTTACTGAAGACTTAACTGGATATGCTGTTCCTAATTAGATGTGACTTGAGTACTTGGAATTTCAATTGAGAAGATGCTTTACTTTTGTGATTAGCCTTTTTAGGGTGTTGTTTTTATTTAACATTAGTATTGCATCTCAGGTGGGGGCTTTCACATTGTTCATTAACATTAAAACTGCTGAGTTACACCTGCCAGAAGTTACTGGCTATGACACCTAGCAAGGAACTGTTGTCACTTATTTGTTTAAAGAAACCTTGCTTATTTTGAATAATTTCAGGTCCTTCATCTAATGAATAAAATGAATCTTCCTCCACCTTTTGGACCAATTACTGCTCGCCCTCCCATGGTAACTTCTTAAATATATGTTTTAAGTACTGTAGAAGTGATTCACAATTTAAAATGTCAGCAGTATGGTAGGAGGTCTAAAAGCTGGAGAAATCTCTAGAGGATAGCAAATACTGCTGCATTTCACTAGTTCAATGTGCATTGTTGGCCTTCTAAAGAAATCTTTTTGACCGTACTTAGAACAAAGAAATACACATCTGACAGTAGCACTAGAATGTTTCAAACTGTTGGCTCGCTGTAGAAACTGAGATGGCTTTGGAGCTTAGGTATGTTTTGACCATATTCGTCTTAGGAAAGTCCTTAAAGCTGAGTGCAAGGTGAAAACCCAGGACCATGGCTGCTGTGTTTCTGATCACCTCAGCTTAAAAGAATTAAAACATTCACTGTCGGGCCTCAGAAAGCAGCAACATTTTCTTTTTGATTGTGGAAAGTTTTTCATTAGTAATGTGGTTTACCAAAATAGCATCTAGATCACTATAGGCATACTTTGAGAAGATGCTTTCTGTCATATTATAATTTGTTGCTTTGACTATTTTTATTAAGTAAAGGAAAGCAAGGTACACTTTTTTTCTTGCAAAGTTTAGATACTTTTTTAAACTTTTTCCCCATAATTAGTATGAAGAGTATTTACCAGTGCCTGTGCCACCTCCCCCAATCCCACCTCTGCCTCCTGAAGAGCCTCCTTTGCCTGAAGAGGAAGAAGAGCAACTGTCTAGTGGGGATGAATCGGAATACGAAAGTGACAATGATGAGGAGAAGGAGAGGTGCGTGTTTTGCAGGCATTTGCAAGCTTCTGGGCTCACCTAAAGTGGTGGGTGGCTTTACTTCTCTAGCTTCCAGTTCAGCAGATGGTGGAGTCTCTCTTAACATTCGCAGTACATGGATATAATATGTAGCAGATAGTATATAGAAATCTTTCCAGGTGCTTGGAGAAACTCCAGATCAACTTAATAACAGAAGGACAGTGCTGTTTTAAATGCAGTAAGAAAAGGAAAACAGCCTCTTGGTGTGGAATTTATCATTTGTTCTCATGTCAAAAACCCCCCAACTAAACAATGCAGTTATAAGGAAGCAGTGATTAGTTTGTTTTCTGAATTCTTCATTATTCCATATCTTTACTGAATTAACTACTCAGCCTAAATCATGTATTAATAGTTGGAGGTTGTGTGCTGAGGATGCTCTTGCAATTTTGGGACTGAATTACATCATAGGTGTGGGGTTTGTTTAATCTTTAAACTAATACTAAAATTAAAAAAAAAAAAGAAAGCAAAAACAAACATTTAAACTGAAAAGTAAATCAGAAAGTCACTGTGCTTTATTCAGAAAAATAAATGCATTTGGAAAAAGGCACTCCTGTTGAGTGGAAATTGTGTTATAAAATCAGGTTCAGTTTGGGGTGTCACAGCTTTCCTTACAGCTTCAGTGTCCTAATGAGGAGCTTGCATGGGGAAGGAAGGGCATCACTGACCTCATTTACAGTTATTATAACCATGTTCTGAAAAGTTCTGTTTCAAGGGCTTTAAGGAGAGGGGAGGGGTTTTCATGAGTATTTTCAAATAAACTGTAAACTACTTTGTTTGTTTGTTTGTGGGTTTTGTTTGTTTGTTTGTTTTTTGCTAAAATAGAATGACCAAGTTGATGGAATTAGCAACCCTTCAGCCTAAGAGACCAATAAACACGAAGAGACGTGGTGTTAGAAAAAAGCAAAGAATTAAAGACTTACTGAATGTTCCTGTGTGTACTCCCCACAGGTTTGTATTTTTTCTGTGGCTTTTTTCACTTTTTCAGAAGATTACTCCTTTTACTAAACTGTGTTCCCTGTGTCATGTTTGCTTTAGAGTTGCTGTTTTAAAACAAGCATTCTTTACTGATAGCTAATTTGGTACTGGAGATGGTCTTCCCTTATCCTCATGCTTGGTTTTATTGCTCAAAAAGTCCAAATTTTCCTGTGATTTGAACTAACATCTTAACTACCTTAATCTGTAAAGTGTGCTGGTTCAAGCTCTGTGTTTCTCTTGCTATCAAACTAATAAAAATTCCTTTTCATAAAAAAGATAACTAATTCTGTATCACAGCTGTGACAGAAGCAATCTGGGTCTATTTTTTGGAATACTTTTTAAAATAAAAAGTTATAATTATAATATGATACTGGATTTGTTTTAAAATAAGTTTGGTTTTTGGAACTGCAGTTCTGTGGTCACCAGTGTAGTATTTCTATGTGGTGATGAGTGATTGTGAATGCATTTTTCCTAATAGCCATCTGCTTCCTCCGAGTGATTTGCTATATTTTTTTAAAATGCCTGTCTGTATTGTAATGTGGGATGTGATTCTTGGATTTTGCTCCCACTACCAACCATACCTACTGTATTTGTGTTCTGATCCACTTGAACTGTGTTGGGTGAGATTTATGAAATGGAGAGCACAGGTATTGGTGGTAAACAACGGCATAAAATACATCTGGAAGAAATCTTATATTTGACTATGCATTCATCAGTGTCTGAATCGTTAATTAACATGTTGTTGTTTTAAACAGTAATTTGCACCCTACACTGTCACCTTCAGATGTCTTTGAGCAGCCGCAGCACGTAGGTCATAAAAAAATTGAGTTTCATATTAGTACTGACATCCCAGCTGTTCTTCAGATAAACTCAGAGAAAGAAGAAAAAAATGGTAAGACTCCCTACTTCAAATGTATTTAATATTAAAATCATCTGGGTTCAGGGTGTAGAAAGGTGCTGAAATTAGGCCAGGAAATTCTTTTCTTCTGTACTGGAGCTTTCAACACCAAGTTGTGTCTTGTTTGCATTTGCTGTTTTTTAAAGGTCTCTTTCTCTCCTATGTGCTCTGTAGGTTTACAGTAAATTGCACTGCCTTTTAAATGTTAAGATGTTTTTAGCAAATGTTACAAGTGCATTCTCAGTATTTTATAGTGTAAATGAATATGTCAGATTAATTTCAGATTTTCCTTTTCCAGCTCTTAGAGAGCAGCATCCAAGTGATTGCCAAGTCCTTCTCTGTGGTGTATCTGCTATAATAGTGATAATAGCAATGAGATGTGATGTTTTTTTTATAGGGTTATGGTCAGTCTGTGTTTCTTAGTACTTTAAACTAATATTCTTTTTTTAAAAACGAAAATTAGATAAACCATTGAAACGGATACAGGCTTGAGCAGGAAGGCTTGCTTTATGCTAACTGTCATGTGCCGTGGCTTTTGTTTGTAGTTTATTGGGGTTTATAGGACTATATAGAGCAGATGCTTTTGTCAAACCAGATTAAGACTCATTTTTTAAAGGATGTGTTCAAATTGCTTTACAAAATCTACTATACTAAAATATTACTGAAAGGATGGATACTTCTTTTGCTTGCTTTTGATCCTCTTGTGAATAAACATATAAACCACTTAAATAATGTGTTTGAAATTTCAGATGTTTCTGCAGCCACAGAAGAAATCAATAACACAGGCTTTGGAAGGATTTTCCCAGCTCCTAGCTCAAATGATAAAATGGAAACTGAAGAGGAAGATGATGAAATACCATCAGAATTTATTTCTAGAAAGGATCTAGAAAAAAATAGACTTTCTAGAGAAGGTATAACTGAGAATGTGTTATCTATTAATGCCTTTTTGATTTCTTGAAACAAATAGTTTAAATAAGTATTTCCTTTCTTAATTGATGATATATTAAATTATTTTATACTGAGTAAATATGCAAGGTAAATGAGCTAAAACATTCTTTATTTTTTGTCTTTTTTAAGAAATGGAGAAATTTTCTGTTTTCAAAAACTATGAGCCAGGTGATCCAAATTGCAGGATATATGTGAAGAATTTAGCTAAACAAGTCCAGGAAAAGGTAGGTAAATAAGCAAATTAAATATTTATCCAAAAGGGTTTTTCTTAGCTTTTCTCTTATACCTACATTTTAATTTCAGGATCTGAAGTTCATTTTTGGAAGATACGTTGACTTCCAATCAGAAGTGGAACGAAATATGTGAGTTCATTTAGTACTTGGTTAGATTTAAGCTTCTTATGTTATCTTTTATGATACTGGTGAAAATTGTGATTTTAGAACTAGTCGTCTTTTTTTATCTTTCTGCATAAAGAAAAAATACTTTTCATCTGAAAATCTTCATTTATCACAAGTACAGAAATAGAATTATTTTAGGAACAGTGTCTGAAAACCCTACTATTTTGCCCTTTTTTTTGTTGCAAAATTTACTGTTTGTTGGCTGAGTGACTCAGAATGAACAGTGTAGGTGACTGTGTGTATCTGGTCATTTTGCACGTGTCCTGTTCAGTAGTACTGCACACCAATTTACCATCCTGCAGTCTGATGTTACTTTTTAGTAAATGGTTCCCCCAGGCAAAATGGTCTCCAAGGGCATCATTCCTGCTTGTAGGCTTTGCTCCCATTTCTCCAATTTGCTGCATGAGAATCATTTTACTGTGAAATATGAAAGTTTTGTGAAATGTGAGTAATTCCCAATTCTGCATTTTTGCCTCTAGGTTTGATATACGTTTGATGAAAGAAGGCCGTATGAAGGGACAGGCCTTCATTGGACTTCCTAATGAAAAAGCAGCTGCTAAAGCACTAAAAGAAGCAAATGGATATGTCTTATTTGAAAAACCCATGGTGGTTGTATCCTTTTCTTCAAACATTTACATTATATTCTTTGTAAACTGTCTGTCACTCTCTTGTTTTGCTGTCAGAGTGTTCTACAGAAGAGGAAATACCTTAAGAAAACCAATCAGCATAACACGGTGTACTATTGTTAGTTTTATGGTAGCTGAAAAAAAATAGAGGCACCTCTTCTAAAATAGGAAAGTAAAGGTGATTATGTAAGACAATAGGATTCTCTGGTCTTAACTCTGATCCTGCAAAGGTAATACAAAAAATAAGTTAGCTTGTACGACCACTGTATTTAAATTAAATACAAGCTTTTTGACTTGGTTAGGCCTATGTTTACAGAACTAAGAACATAAGAAGTGTTCCTGTTGGGGTCAGTTGTCTCTGTTAACACTGGGTCTCCAGCTGGAACTGTCACTTTTTGATTATGTGGCACTGGTTTTTGTCTGTAAGTCCTTTCTTATTTTTACTTAAATTTTTCATAGTTTGTTTTATTTCTTTGTATTCACATTTGTCCCAACTGCTGTTCCTTTTACTTTTTTTTCCCTCCCAAATTCTGAGACATCAAAGTCACAGAATTAACACGCTGGGATGGAAGACTGTAGATATCAAGCATTTATCCTGCTGTAGTTACTCTGCACCAAACCTATTTCCAGTTAGTTCTCCTGATTTACTTGGTATTGCAAGCTCTTGGACAGTCTCTCTAATAACTTTAGTAGTGTGTAACGGTGAGGTCCTAACCTTTGACTAATGGGTGCTATTGTTATAATGTTTATACTGCAGTAGAATTGATTCACAGGTAAAGGTCACTTTCTAGACTGTAATTTGCAGAAGTAATCTTTTTTTTTTTTTCTTCTTGATTGGCTTCTACATATCACAGACACTTGTAGTCCTTAACAGAATCCCAGCAATTTGCTCGTTCAGCTAGACCAAAACAGGATGCCAATGAAGGGAAAAGGAAAAAGTAGAACTCTGCACAAGGTACGGACTCTCTGCCTGAAAATAAAACCAAAATAATTAGGCTGGGATTTTTTTTTGTTAACATGTGTGTTTGTTTGTTTTTATTTAATACCTCTTTAATGGCTTCTTTAGGAATAGTGGGAAATGTTCCATACAATTTTCTTTTCTTAAATGTGTGCTTACATCACAAAAACAGAGTGCAAGGTATATAGTTGGTGTAAATTTAACATGTTGCTTCTTCCTGTTTAAGAACTTGGGAGACTGACCTTCACTGATACTAATATCAAAGGTTACCTATCATTTCTCTAATCTTTAATCTGGGGAGCTGAGGACAATAATTCTGTTGATCTGGGCCACTTACCTTTCAGTAATCTTCCAGGATTTTGGTATTGAAAAGAGTTGCCTCTATACAACGGTAAGGAAGGAGCAAAGTGATGCTGAAGAACTGGCCCCAGCAACAAACTTCTGCTAGTTGTAAAGGACCTTTGGCTTTGCTAACTTAGTGCTGTTGCAGCATCCTTTAAACTTGTCTGAATTAGTGAAGAATCTTCTGTCAGAATGTGCTGCTTAATGCTGCATTGATCAAGACTTCCTTTGTGGAATGCATAGGTCCTGATTTTTGGCATTATTATCCCATCATAACATGATGGGAAAGTAACTTATAGCAGAAAGTAATTGCTGTTATTTCTTATCATGTAGCTTTACTTCACTGCTGCTTACTCTATTTCCTTTTAATTCAAGCGAAATCAGCTCTAACTGTGAGGGCTTTCATGACCTGAAAACACTTGCATAGTGAACTCTCAAATTATCATGTGAAGTAACTGATGCAAGAATAAGAAGCACTTAGTTCTCAATCTGCACCCTCTGATCAACTAGCTCAGATTTAAAGGGCATTGAATTTAATCACTGGTTACAGTTGGGGATTGCTCTGGTTATGCCACCACTTTGGACAAAATGAACTCAAATCTTAGGCTGAGTGCTTATGAAGCATTCTACTTAATCCATGATGTGTTTTTAATCTGGAGGTTTGATCCTTGTTACTTTGAAGAAAACCTGAAGTTTGAAATAAAGGATGTGAACAGTTGGTTTTGATTTTTACAAATAGGTTGGAGAGCCCACAGAATGGTTATTGTGAGGGTAGTAGTTCTGTTCAGAACAGTTACTTTAATTGTAGGTTCCTTGTTGTATCCATTGTCTAAGAATTTCTTAATCAGATTATGTTTTAGCTTGTTTCCCTCATATCTGAGATACTACTTGCTCTTAGAAGTTCCTATTTTGTATAATTGATTGTGATTTGCAAAATCTGTATTTTGTCAAATTAAAGATAATTTTTTTACAGGCCTTCTTCTGTATTGGTCACTGAAAACAGAAATGAGCCTTGGCTAAAGTATCTTATTAGGAACAAGTGTTGATGAGACTGTGTTTCAGTCTTGTTTCTTACTCCTGTCTTGTTAACCAAAAAACTTGTATTTATATTATTTTATCTGTCATCTAATAAGAAGATTACTAAGTGTCTTTATATACAAAAAGAAACTTGAAACATTTTATCTGTTGGAAAGCCTGGTAGATGAAGCCTGAGCACTTCTATTCTTTTTAAGAATTCCATGTCTTTTCAACTGATTTTGTACATTAATTCTGAATTCACTAAACATGCTAAATACTTGAATTACATGAAAAAAATAAAAAAGTGCTTACTTGGTTATTAATTATGTTGATGGTCAACTCAGAAGTGTTTTTTAGAGTGAACAAAAACATACTTATGCAAGACTCATTTGTGCACCTGAAAGTCTTCCCTGAATTGCCACCTTGCAGGTGTCACTGGTTTAATGTGCCATGGGCAGAACTTCTCCCTTAGCTTGACTGTTTGTGTGCAGCAATCACAGAATGTTTACAGTGATACAGATCTGTGAGGATCCAAGAGGTTTAGTTAAAAATATTTGTTTGATTTCCCAACTAATGATAAAATGGAACCCTATTTCTACATGACTGTTTTCCTTTTCCTACTGGAATTTTCTGGTGGATGCTGATTTATGATGCAAAACTCCATTATAGAAGTCTGAGTTTGGTTTTGTGTTTCATAGGGGTTTTTATTTGGTTTTTGAGGGGGGGTTAAATTTTTTTTTTAGTATGTTCTCTATAGAGATTTTATCCTTTGTGGAGAAGATAATACATATGGTTTATAAAAATAGTACTACTAAGTCCTTGCTGGCTGAAATGTCTTTCTTGATTGACTGGCGAAAAGTTCAGTTAGTATTTGGGGTGACTGTTTTTCCTGTAGCTAAAATACAACTTTTGGGGAGAAAGGTTATGTAGAAGAAACTGATGCTGAGACTTCTCCAGCTTCTTCTTTGGAAGAAGTGACTTGAAAGCCAGCATTAAATGGAAACGTGATTGGGTTTTGGACCTGATGGGGGGGAAAAAAAAAAAGTGAGTCTGTAAAATGGCAAAGACTTGAAGGAGAAGTAATAAACAGAAAAATCTGCTGGTGTCCTAGTAGTTCCAGTTACGAAAAAATGTATTTGCTTTTGAATATGGAGTTTAGTGTTGGTGGATCCATCAGCCCTCATTAAATCTCATAAGGTGTCAGAACTGTATTTTATCCAACAGGCATATTTGCTTTTGATAGGTAGCATAAAGTTATGTGTATGCAATACTGAGAATCAAGTAAAATTAAACCACATTCTGCTGTTCTTCTTTAGAAACATTCCTGCGTAAATACTGCAGTAATACTGTCATGCAGAGTGTATCCTTTCTTGTTGTATCCTTTTTTTGTGCAATGTTTCCTTTAGCACTCAACTACATCGAAGTTTTCGTGTAGAGTAGGTGTGGGGAGGAGTTTACATGTTTAAAGCTTGAGCTAATCTGGTAATTTTGAAAAGCTAAAGGTGCTTTTTCAGGGGGAAAAAAGAAATCACTGAGTTTTCTGTGTTTTATGAATAGACACATTAAAGGTTCTTAGTCTTAAAAGGTGGCCTCCACCTTTTTCTCAGAGGTCATATACCTTACTAATTCGTGGTCCTATTCCTTAGTGGAACAGTTCTAGCTCAAACAAGCTGATGTATGTGGAGCTGTGCTGAGCTCACACTGAGGGTGTCACTTTGTTTTTCTTAAAATAAATATTATTTATCTGGATCATTATATGGACCATTAATATATAAATATATTAATATGTTGGCTAAAATATGTTGCAAAGCAATTCTTAATATTAAGGGGTTGACAGGTATTTAGATCATTTGATGATTATTGTTGTCCTGGTATATGAGAAACAGTCTGTAGTTGATTCAGTTTATACATTCCTTATTTTGTCTTTTTTGAATAAAGAATAATAATATCTTGCAATGAAGTATTTGAAGTTGAACTAAGCTCAACTATTAATCACTGCTACCTTTTTGTTGGTTTTTTTTTTAGATTGTTCTCTGCACTGAAGTAGTGTTGTTGCCAGTGACTTTTAATTTTCTTGTGGGTTTCATACTACCTTACTATTTAACTTTCTGCAATATAAAATTAATACAGCCTGCATCTATTAAGTCATTTTTTTTTCAGATATTAAGCACTTTTTAAAATACTTTAACATCTTTCAGTTTCGTTGTCCAAACAAAGTATAACGCTGCTGTTTACTGGTTGTTCTCACTTTTAACATGCCTTTGTGATGTTCCAGGTCCCTTTGTGTTCCATCTCTTTCAAGTATTGCCAAGCTGGGGGAAGAAGCAGTGTAATCATCAGGACTCTTGAACTGTGCGTAGTAGCATTTCTAAAGTATTTAAGGCAGACTATAAATTGGCAGACTATAAATTTTCTCATCTTAAAGATTCCACATCTTTAAAGTGTCACAAGACTTACATGATAAATGTATGTTAGTTTGCTTGTGAAATCTAATAAATTATTGCCTTTCTCTTTGGTTTGCCTTTCTCTCTTCATTTTGGCTTTTATTGTGTGGTTTTTGATTTTGACGGATCTTTTTCCTGTCTTGGAGCCAATGGAAGGACTAGTGAGTGCACCAGCATGGATTTGTACTGTGAAATAGGCACTGCTTTTCCTCAGTAATTAACTTTCACTGTTCATCTGCATCTTGAAAAATGTCAATAGTGAGACTGAAGTAATTAAAAACCAGTAACAGTTAAGGCAGTGTTAAACCTGTGTAAGTGTAGTCCTTGCCTTGTTGAACTGAACAATAAATGGAGGTCACATTGTAGGATTTCTTACATATTGGGCAGATTAGTGTAATTGTCTAAAACCATGAGGGAAACACTGAAATGACGTTTACTTGGCAACTCCAGTCCAGTGGACTTGAAGAAATGTTGTTCTATAAAATACTAAATCATGGTTGATGGTCTGGTAACTGGCTCACGTAAAAGATTTATTTTGACATCATTCCAGCTGCAAGCAGTCTAAATCACTACTAGTGATGGCTGGATCAAAGTGTGTCTGCTGTTTTTTCCATATGAATTGGCTTATCCATTACTATAAAATGCTTTTACTGGAATTCTTTTTTGGCTTATTTGCTGTTTTCTCATGTGGATTGTGTAGTTGTTTGTTAGCTTATCTTACTTGATTTTGGACTTGTAGACCAGGAAAAATATACTGAGAGAAGTTTTATGAGAGTGGCTGAAGGGTTTATAATGCTTAGAAGTGAGAAAAAAGTGGCTTAATTTTTTTTTTTTTTTTTGTGTATTCACATGTGGCCATTCCATTATGAATAAAGCTAAGCTGTATTTTTGGTGGGTTTTTAATTATTAAAGTAAAATACAAATAAAACATGCTGTCCACCATCTTACACTGATAAACTATTAAGGAAACTATGATAATGTGTCCTGACACGCATGTTGAGCTACAAGTACAGGGACAAGTTATTAAAATAGTGCATAAAAGGCCAGCAAGTGAGTTTTCAAAGCAGTGATGGAGGGTAACAGCAAGGTGGTGCTGTGCTCAAGGACAAAAATCTTTTTTTAAGACGTGTGATAACTCTATATCCCCAGAGCTTTCCTTTCCCAAATCTCAAGAACAAATATATTCTGGAATGTAATCTTACACTGAATCAACATAATGGTGTGTAATATAAAACTTAGAGATATTTTCTACTTTTACTGTTGCTAGAGTGGCTTTGACATACACAGTAGCAAATGGAGGTAGTCATAGGAAAATGTTTCTTTTCTCTAGGAATGGACAAAACCGCAAGTAAAGTAAACAGTTGTGTATAGTCTGTATACAACACAAAAGGACCTCCTGCCAGGAGCTGCTAGCTTGGGTCGGAGCTGCAGTGTTTGGCCTACAACGCGAACAGTAGCGAGGCAAGTTACTTTAGGAAACCAGTGGCCAACAAAACAAGCATTCCAGAGGAAAGAAAAGCAAACAAACGAAATCCGAAATAGAGATCCCCAGCAGAGACGGGTGCCCAAGGGCCGGCGCGGGGCCGGGCTCGGCTCTTCCCCGGTGCTCTGGCGCGGTTGTGCGGGGCCCGGCCCGGCCCGGCGGAAGGGGCGGCGCTGCGGGCTGGGCTGCGGGCGGTGGGTGCGGGACTGGGGCCGGCCCAGGCGCGTACGTACGGGGTCCAGGGTACCATCTCTCTCCTCGGGGTGTGCGTGGCCCGGGGAGCTCCGGGAGCCGGGGGCCCGGCCCGGCGCACTCACGGCCGCCGGCGCTGCCTCTGCCGGGCGCTGGAGGAGCCTGTGCGACACACGGAGCGGGTGAGCGGGGTCCCGTGGGGAGCCACGCGAAGTGACAGCGACACCGCTTTGCTGTGCTGTGACAGCTTCAGCAGGCCTGCGTCAGACCTCTCGCACATGTAAACGCTGCTGGTGGTGCGTTGGAGATTGCAGCTGAGCTTCACAGCACAGGCTAACCTGGCAGAAGACAAGGTGACCTGAGATCTCGTGCCGTCCGAGACAGCAGTAGTGCTGTTCAGAGACAGTTCTCTCGCATCTAAAGTGCAATCAGGTGTGCGCTCTTCCATAGGGGGATACAGGCCTTTTAGTTTTTTTCCAAGTTTCAAAAACATTGTGAAGCTAGAGCCATCAGACTGTGGTGGGGATTTCAACATCCCCTTTCTCTTATCATTGCTTGTACTAAAGACAGAACAGCCATACACCTATTTCAGAGAAATTAAAAACAACATTGGGTCTTTAAGCATTAGGCCTTGGAGCTGGTTAGGTCAAAGTCTATTAGTCTTACTTTGTGTAATTTACTGCTTTGTGTACTTACTGCTGTAAGTAAAACTTGCCAGTCTGATAAATGGCTTCTCTCATCAGAGAAAATCAAACCTTCTTCTAGCTCATTTTCTGTTAATGTATGGTCTTCCTATCTGGGCAAAGAAGCATTTTTTCATGAAAATGGATACACACAACAACTGCTTGTGGATGAAATTTATCTGTCTACTTTACCAAAGATCTACAAGTAAATAATTTCATTAAAATTATTTTGTTCACAGGCAGAAAAGCAAGCTAAATATACTAAATGAGTAATTCTAAATAACTCTGTCTGCTTGTGAATAGTGACAGCTGATAGCAATGGGCTCTGGAAAGCGAATTCTGTACTATATAAACTGGTGTATTTTGTGCTTGAATTTGCTCCAAAGAGTGTAGATCCACTGCCTGATGGATATGAATTATCATTTTGTAGAAGTCATGTAAGATTTGATAAAAACTTTGGCCTGGCTATCGGTGTCATAGCAGGTTGGAGTTTTCAGCAGTGCATTTCCAGATGTGTATTAAATCAGGAAAGGCACTGGTTTATTCATGTAGCAAACCTGAAGGCCCTTCTGTTCATGTTTAAACCTTCTGTGAAGTGTTTGGTGTCCCCTGTAATAGCACCTAGGAATCCCCCTATTCCCTCTTTGCCCTGTGTTGTTTCTGTGTTAAGATAGCTTTTTAAATTAAATAGATACTAAGAGGAAAGTAACAAAATTTTGTGCTTTGTTGTTTAAGGGAAGTAGTAATTCAGCCTTTTGTTTGTAAAAGGCCTCCTTGTAGTACTTTTTGTATCTCAGACCATCTGAATCAACTTCTAAACACGAAGAGTGCAAAACAAGATCCTGAATAGAATAATGCAAACCTTAGTTGTTTAACTTCCTGTTTGTTACACATTGTATCTCTTTAGATGAGAAAAAGGAGAGGCAATTTAAATATAAGGCTTGTCCTCTGTGTTTGCCCACGGGTAAATACAAATAGGATATGAATTGGGAAATAGAGTTCCTAGCCTAGCTCATCAGAAGGTAGGGATTTTCCTCTTCTGAAAAGCTCCTTCAAATGCAGAACTCTGTACCTTGGCCCTGAGAAGGAGATTTCTTGATTATGGAGCTTCACAGCACTCCTAATGTCTGCTGTTGCCTTGTGTTCTTTGGGAGGATAAAATCTCCACAGAAATTGTACAAGTGTACAGAGATCAGACATTCACATTTCTGGTTTTGAGTCACTATAATAATTTCTGTGTCTGAGAGATCTTCCAAGGTTAGGGCAGTTGTTTGGATGACAGGTGTCATGAATATCATGAAGGACAAACACCCATGTTAGATCTCCAAAATACGTGGGGGTTTGTGACAGCTCACAATAAGAAATACTCTGCTTCTCCAAGGTCCTGTCTAAATATGTCCAAGTCATAGTAACATCATTTTGGAAAAAAAAGATGCCTCTCAAGGATAAACAGGAATGTAAAATACTAGGGATTAAAATGAAAAACAAAATGTCCATTTTAGTTTATGTAAGAACACTTTTGCCTTTTGGGGTTGTTTTTGGCTTTATACTAATAAAAATACATCTTACAGGAGAGAGCCTATCAACATCTTAGTTGTAACTTCAGGAAAATGAAGTTACTGTAGGTTTGGGAGGTTGATATAGCATAGATAGAATCCAGTTCTCATTCAGAACAACAATCAAGTTAAATATAGTGTCAGAGGTGGACATTTCCTCTTAAATGTGTATTTCCTAATGTGTGTTTTCTAATGTGTATTTTCTAATGTGTACTTTACCCTCTTGCAGGAACACAAATAGGTAGTAGGAAGAGCACAGCTGATCACAGAGCACGGGATGGGTATCTATTTTCTTCTGTTAACTGTGGGGTTTTGCTGGGGGCAGTACAACCCCCCCACCCTCTCTAAGAGGACATCTATTGTGCATCTCTTTGAATGGCGCTGGGAGGACATTGCCCTGGAGTGTGAGCGCTATTTAGCTCCTAATGGATTTGGAGGAGTTCAGGTATGTCTGTTCCTGTCAGTAGGTAGTAAAATTGCTACATGGATGATAATTTGTTTTTCAGAGAAAATGTTCAATTCGCCAAAGGTACGGAGAAAGAAAAATAGAAATTGGTAATGGAAGTAGTAAATGCTGACAAAATATATTCTTCAGCTATTACTGAGAAAGCATGACTTTATTTCATTGTTCCAAAGTGCACATTTTGCACTCTGTGCTATTGCATTTAGATGAATTAGAATTGCATATTGTTGGCTAAATCTTTTTTTTTACTGTTGTGAAGAGTAACCCATGTTTATCTGCTTGATATTATTTAAATCGAGGGAAGCTCTTAAGAGCTAGATAAACATAAAATAGCACTATGACTGAAAAAATTGCTCTCAGAATAATAAAGTGCTGAAGGTTTAAGTAATTAAGTATAAAAGGCTGCTAATTGTGTTCACCCAGACTGGCGTGTCTCTTTCTGTTAAGCGAAGTGTCACAGTAAGCCATTAGAGACCCTTCTTTGGAGGAACCTGGTGTGAACAGGCAGAAATGAACTGAACAGGGGTTCTGGAGGGGGAGTGCCTGTGTGAGTCTGGTCTGTCTGAACAACAGACACATTTCCTGTAGAACCAGTACTGTCAGATGGGTGGGGTAACGTGGCTGGAGGGCAGACACCTATTAAGCTATTTCAGTTTGCTCATCAGATTGCTCAGGAAAAATTGGTGAGAAGCCTGCCCTGTCTCTTGTAGCCCAGAAGTTTGCAAGTTGGCCTGAGTAAGAACTCTCCCAATAATTATCAAACAATAACAGCTTTTCTTTGCAACCTTCTTTCCAGGCACACAGACCTGATTGATTTTTAAACTGATTTCTCAGACTGTGGTATATGCATATGTATCTTTTTAAGCCATTCTTTGACAGTGTCCCAGAAGGAAAGTTTTTTCAGATGATGACTTGCTGAGATGGTCACAAAGCTGTGGCAGCTAAGTGGGCTGCAGCCTAGAGATCTTTCTGAGAAATGGTGGGATCAGGTGGTTATGCCCAGAGACTTGGAGGTAGCAGCAAAAGCTTGTTGCCTAAAAGGTATCCTGAACAGAATCTTTAAAATTTTGGAAGAGTGTAACTCACCTGGAAACTTACAAGAATTAGGTCAAGAATGCTTTTATCCAAACCATTACAATAACGGGAAGTTGGATCAGTTTTAAGTGCAGGATGTTACGTCAGTTGCTATACAGTCAATTCCTTCCTGATCCTATATGTGCTGACTTATTTCTTAGATTTCAGACATTTATTTTTTTAATTTTTAAGGCCTGCAGTAACAAAGATAATTAGGACACTATGTCCATGGACCTAATTTTTATAGTATGTTTCTACCTGCTGAAAGCCAGGCCTGAGACTTTTATTTCCAGTGTAAGCAGAGGATACTGAGTATCTCTATGGCTTATGTTCTTTCTCTAACAATAGTGGGCAAACAACCATTATCAGTAACCTGTTACCAAGTGCCATTGTTTTGTTCACAGATTTCACCTCCAAATGAAAATGTTATTGTTACTGACCCCAAGCAGCCATGGTGGGAAAGATACCAGCCTGTCAGCTACAAGCTGTGCTCACGATCTGGAAATGAAACTGAGTTTAGAGACATGGTGACCAGGTGCAACAATGTTGGAGTAAGTGCTTTGAAAAACCTTCTGGTGTTAATAATGCAAGGATATAGACAAGCAGTAATTTAGCAGGGAAGACATGGTAGCACTGGAGTGAAGATGGTGGGGGTTTTTGTAGAATTATTTGGTTTAGAAGGGACATTAAAAGGTCATCTAGTCGAATAAGTCCCAATAAGCAGGGACATCATCAACTAGATCAAGTTCCTCAGAGCCCCATTCAATTTGACCTTGAATATTTCCAGTGATGGGGCATCTACCACCTCTTTGGGCAACCTGTGCCACTGTTCCACCACCATCATTGTGAAAAAACTTCCTATATTTAGTCTAAACTTGGCCTTGTTGAACCTCATGTGAGTCCCCATAGCCTCACTTCTAAAGTTTGTCCATGTCCCTCTGAGTGGCCTCTCATCCCTCAGGTTTGTCAGCTGTACCACTCAACTCGGTGTCATCTGCAGGCTTGCTGAGGGTGCACTCGATCCCTTCATCTCTGTCATTGATGAAGGCACTAAATAACACTGGTCCCAGTACGGATTCCTGAGGGACACCACATGTCACCGATTTCCGTCAGGAATCTGAGCAGTTGGCTGCTACCCTCTGGATGCAACCATCCAACCAATTCCTCATCCACTGAACAGCCCATCCCTCAAATGGAGAGAAGGATGTTGAGGGAGATGGTGTCAATGGCCCTACAGAAATACAGATTGATGACATCTGTAACCCTTCCTTTGTCCACTGATGCGGTCACTCCATCATAGAAGGCCACTAGATTACTCAGGCAGGACTTGGGTGAAGCTGTGCTCCTTGTCTTAAATCACCTTCTTGTCTTTCGTGTGCTTTAGCGAAGTTTCTAGGAGGATCCAGGCTGGATGGGGCTCTGAGCACCCTGATCTAGTGGAAGGTGTACCTGCAGGTGGCCACGGGGTTGGAACTAGGTGATCTTTAGGGTCCCTTCCAACCCAAATCATTCTATGGTTTTGTGATCTGTTCCATGATCTTCCCAGACACAGAGGTGACACTGGCAGGTCAGTCGTTCCCAGGATCCTCCCTTCTACCATTTCAAAAAATGGATGCAGTGTTATCTGCGTGCCTGTAGAGCTGCATGCTGTATCCCCATTGCTGTATGCTAATAAAAGAAAAATAATTTGAATAAGGTGTTGGGTGAAGCAATCAAGCATATATGGGAGGATAAGGCAGCAGGTGTGGGAAAGAGAACATTGATTAGTGGTGCTGTGGGAAGTAGCTTTCTCAAATTGTTATGTGAATATTATTCTCTAGGTGTATATTTATGTGGATGCAGTAATCAACCATATGTGTGGAGCTAATGCTGGTGCTGGCGACCATGCCACTTGTGGAAGCTATTTTAATGCAAAGACTGAAGATTTTCCAGCTGTGCCGTATTCTGGCTGGGACTTTAATGATGGTAAATGTAAATCTAGAAGTGGAAACATTGAGAATTATCATGATATATCTCAGGTAAACCTAGAACTATGGCTTTCGTGTACATCTGTTCCTGTGCTGTGGTTTCTTTGCTCTCGTCTACAGTCAGACATTTTTTAAAACAAAATGGCTCATGGAAAGCCATCCAAATTAATAATAGATGTTAGTGTTGCTATCAGGAACACCGCTTCTTAAAGGGATCGCTCTATTTGAAACAATGGCTCTGTTTCAGATTTAGGCAAATGTGCTTAGGTATTCTATAAAGAAAGACAATTTAAAGCTCATAAAATCTATTTAGTGACTATCTTGCTTGGGAGTTTTGTGTCAAAAAAGTGTAAGAGTTATTGTTTGCCTATCATTTTAATTTGGAAGTTTTCTTTGGCCTCAATTTCAGAAAAGAGAGATTAGGATTTTTTAAAGGAAAATAGTAATGCCAAAATCTTGAAAATTGACCTTCTGTTCAGATATTTCCTAGGAGTTTATCTATTCCTCTGTGTTAGATTATGAGGTCAGGACTTTATAACTACCACAGAATAAAAAATTATCTTCTAAAAATAAATACCTACCTTTCTTGAATAGTGTCTTATGCCTTTCAAATGCCTTTGATCTTTCCTGAATCTAAGTTAAGGGGAAAGGAGTTTTGGAGAAATGACAGAAATTGTTCTATAGGGGCATCTTTATAGCCAGTTCTTTAGTACAGTTTGCAAGATAGACTAATGCACCTTACTCTTTCCATAGGCTGTGCATAGCCATGGAAACCCATAATGAGAGTTCTTAGAAAAAGCATCTCAGTATATTCAGTGTCTGTTTAAAGTATTCTTTTGATGAAAATCAATGCCCATCATTTTGTATTTGCAGGAAACAGGAGTTTAGTGTTTTAGAAGGCTGAAGTAACTTGAGATTTTGAAATGATTTAGAAATATGACTTCTAGAAATCTTCTATATATCAGAGAAGAAATGAATGCACTGAGTAAAAACCAATTTATCATACTTTTGCCTTATACTTGCATTTAAAAAGCCTATTATAAATTTAGTAACTTGGCTGTTATAATCCTTCAGCATCTGCAAATGCATAAGTTGGATAAATGCAGATTTCTTAATGCTCCTTCTGTGTAGATGACTGTCCAAGGCAAAGATATGCTTGGTATACAAAGCCTAGCTAATGCTGTATTTGACATTGTAACGTAGGCCAGAAAATTCAAAATGTGTGCAGAACACTACCTTTGGTTTATTAGGTGAAAAATGCTTCATTTCAGAATCTTTGCCCAGGTCCGGGACTGCCGCCTGGTCAGCCTTCTGGATCTGGCGCTGGGGAGGGACTCCGTGCGCTCCAGGGTGGCTGAGTACATGAACGGTCTCATTGACGCTGGCGTGGCAGGATTCCGGATTGACGCTGCCAAGCACATGTGGCCTGGGGACGTGAAGGCGGTTCTAGACAAGCTGAAAGATCTAAATACTAAATGGTTTCCTGAAGGAACTAAACCTTTCATTTATCAGGAGGTAATCTTTATTTTTTTTTTAAATTTTACTGAATACATTTTTTATAGGCACGGTATAGACACACAAGGAAAGCAATGCTTTGCTTGACTGAGCCCAAGCACCTTTCAGATGCTAGATCTGTAGAAATCATCATCAAGATTTAATAACCGTAATTTGCAAATATCTAATCTGCCCATAAATGGTAATTGGCGTGTGGAATGCCCCAGATGTTTTGGATCCTCTGGAATTTTCACCTGGAAATTTCATTTGAGGTGAAATTTACTGCATTGAAGTTAGTGTAAAAAATCCTCTGATCTAAAAAGAGATTTCACTTCCTGAATGTTAAATTCTAGATAATAAATTGCAACAGAAGACATAAATGGTGTCTACAGTCTGAAACTTTGTTTTCCTATGCCATAACTAGTATTGCTCGATATTCTGAATTTGTGCTTTACATTTTGAATAACAAATCTGAACAGGACCTAAGAAGCAGCTAGTTGCTGGTTTCAGTCAGTAGAAGCTAAAGTTGCTAGACTCATTTTATTAAAACAGTATCTGGCCTGCAAGCACTGAGGCCAATAATGAAACAGTGTTTAGCTACACAGTGAAATGAGGCTGCCCAGCTGTTGGAAGCAGAGGCATTGGTGACTAAAGTTGGTATGGCCCAAGCAGTAATTATGCATTAGTGATCAGGAGATATAGGATGGAGATGGAAAACAAGTTCACAGCTAGGTTGAGGTTAAAGGGGAAAATAGCTTTAAACACAATTTTGCAGGAAAGCCAAAAAATATAATTAGCTCAAGAATTACCTCTTGCTTAAACCAATGCCAAAGGCAATGTCTTTTACTTGCTTGGTTTTTAAGTAGAAAGCAGTACTCTGTCTTTCCTGTACCAGGTAATTGACTTGGGTGGAGAGCCGATCAAAGGCAGCGAATACTTTGGAAATGGCCGAGTGACAGAGTTCAAATACGGTGCCAAGCTGGGGACAGTGATCCGCAAGTGGAATGGAGAAAAGATGGCCTACCTAAAGTAAGGATTGAGGTGCTGCTATTTATCTGGTCTACACCGGATACAGCAATTGACAGGGTAGCTTGAGCTCTTTGTGTTTTTGGCCAGGAACTGGGGAGAAGGCTGGGGCTTTGTGCCTTCCGACAGAGCCCTGGTCTTTGTGGACAATCATGACAACCAGCGGGGGCACGGGGCCGGTGGGTCTGCTATTCTGACCTTCTGGGATGCCAGGTAAGGGATTGCTCTTGTCTGGGTGCTGCTTCTTTGTTTGGCTTGTCTTGTCTGTCTGTTCTCTGGCAGGTTTCTGTTTCCACATCTCACAGCTTGTTTTGTCCATCCAACAGGCTCTATAAAATGGCAGTTGGTTTCATGCTGGCCCATCCATATGGGTTCACACGTGTGATGTCAAGTTATCGCTGGCCAAGATACTTTGTGGATGGAAAGGTAGGTTTGCAATGCTGAAGATGCATTTGTGTTGAATAAGGCCCAGAGCAGGGCCCTAGAAGTAGTCGAGTGTGTTTCAGTGTGTTAAGGGATTTCCCTGTGCCGTGTTGGATCAAGCTGGTGCAAATGTGATGCTCTGTCTATCTTTTCTCTGGCAAGAGGCTCTCTGCATTTTCAGTGAGAAGTTAGAGAGTTTTGAATTACAGGACATCAATGACTGGGTTGGACCGCCAAGTAACTCGGATGGCTCAATAAAGCCTGTGACAATCAACGAGGACACCACCTGTGGCAACGACTGGGTTTGTGAACATCGCTGGCGTCAGATAAAGTAGGACCCTGTGGGAGAAAAAAAAAAAAGTGAAAGCAGTTGCTTTTGCTTGATGCTCCTTGTGGCTTTAGAGCTCTTGCAGCTGCAGTGACAGCCATTCCTGGTATTTTCAGGAACATGGTTATCTTCCGTAACGTGGTGGACGGTGAGCCTTTCTCCAACTGGTGGGACAACGGCAGCAATCAAGTAGCTTTTGGCCGTGGTAATAAAGGCTTCATCATCTTCAATAATGATGACTGGTAAGTAAGAAATCAATTATAACATTATTATTATAAATATGTTATTTATAAATCTAGTTAATAATGAAAGCTTTTAAGGTGTTGCTAGCTCCAACAAATCATTGTAACAGGTGCATCCTCTGTCTCTCTTTCTGACAATTTAAACTTACCATTCTCCACTCTACCAGGAACACTCTTCACTCTTGACAGTTAGGTCTTGTACTCTGGTCTTGCGGTTTCCCAGTTCTGAAATTGTCTGTGGCACTGAGCAGGGTCAGCCACCAAAGTCTGAACTTATAGAAATGAGGGAACTTGTAAACTTGGGAATGTGGTCTAAAAGTGACAGTTTTAAAAACTGTATTGCAATCTTTCATGCAAGAATGACATGATAAGAGAACGGAGTATGTCAGGCCTGTAATAATTAGAAGCGGGTTGTGGTGATGAGCAATTTGAAGGATGTAGTGGTTCAATAGATTCTGCAGTGTCCAGAGAAGTGCTACAGGATAACTCCAGAATTACCTAACATCTAGAAGGTCTCCAATATGAGTTGCAGGGCATTTTAGAGTCCACATAATCCTTACTGCATTTCAATCTTTTCCAAAGGTCTTTGAATGTAACTCTGCAGACCGGTCTGCCTGCTGGCACCTACTGTGATGTCATTTCTGGACAAAAGGAAGGTGACCACTGTACAGCAGTTGAAGTTCACGTTGCTGCTGATGGCATGGCTAATTTCCTGATTGGTAATGAGGATGAAGACCCGTTCATTGCCATTCATGTTGATGCTAAATTGTAACCAGATCTGTTGTGCACCTGTTGTTTCTTCTCTTCTGTGTTTTTGCTAAGAGCATACAGGTGGGCTGAATGTCCTGGCTCTGCAGCACCGAATGAACCGAGGTAGAGCAAAGTGTATTAGCTAATAATGATGAAATACTGAGCAGCTGCTCGGCAGAGACAGGAGCTGGTGGTGCCAGTGCACATCTGGGAGTGGTGCTGTACACCTGTTTGGAATTTTAAGTGTGCTTTATTCAGTTAAAGTACTAATCCAAAATGAAAGGAGAAAATGGAACTTAATTTAAAATGGTGGTGCTCTGTGTGTAAGTGGAAATGTAGTTCTCTTTAGGGGCAAGTGGGACTGGGAATTGACAGGATGTCCAAAAACCAAGAGGAGACACCTCTGTGCTGAAACGTGGCACAGTTCAAGTTGCTTCCAAGTGATCACTCAGTTGAAAATGTGTTACTTCTGTTGGTCTGTACATTCTCTGTATCTAGTGAATAAAAAATGGCATTCAAATCAAGTCTGTCCCTTTTTTGTGACAAAGACTGGGCCTGGGTCAGAGGAAGCTGGCCTGTGCCAGTTACTTATTCCAGCCTTTGGCATCAGTCAAGCCCATGTATTACCTGGTTCACGGTCAGCTTGTGCCTGTACAAGTCTGAAACTTAGTTCTTCCATAGTTACCCCAAAATTGACTTGATCTCCATTACTGGTGCCAATCACCAATAGGATGCTGGGCATTCCCAGTCACAGAAAAGGAATATGTGGGTTGAAACCAGCTAAAGCCCATTGCTACCTACAAAAAAACTTTTGTTAGTTTTTAATTTTATATGATCTCTGTTATACTGAGCCATGTGTACACTCTTTCCCATACTGGTCTGGCTAAACCAAGGAGACATTCACACCCTTTTAATTAACTGTGGGATAAACAGTTGCATTATCATCTGATGCACTCAATTGACTTAGTTGTTTATCTGAACCACCCACCGACCCTTTGTGTGTTAAATTAGCGTTCTTTGCAATGCCCTTGGACTGTCAGTCACAGCCTGCACAGCCTGTGGTGTGGGGGCTCCCAGTGCCCTTTGCCAGGGGGTTTGCCATCCATTGCATCAGGCTAGTAAGGGTTGGTCCATACTCTTCTTGGCTGACAGCAGCATATTTTTCAGTGGAAAACACATGCCACTGGAAGCTGAAAGTCATGCAGTGACATGCCATCACATCAGTGGAACCCTGCAGGGAATGGTGATGTAATAATTAACCTGAGGCACATTTGGTTGCTTTCAGTAATATTGAGGGATGAGGGGGTCTGTTCTCACTGAACTGGTAATCACAAGGTGCAATTGCTCACTGGTTCCTTGCTGTTGGTCAGTAGGCAAGGTCATTTACAGTAATTTACTGTTTCATTACAGTAGGGGAAAAAGAGGCCATATAATGTCTGCGATATGAAAATGAACAGGTGGACAAATACTTCTGTGTTTTGTCCTTGAAGACAAATCCTGGGAAAGAGAAGGATGCATGTGACACATTGGCATGACTAGTTTCAGAAAGAACAAACGTAGTGTGGTAGTTCAAGTACAAAGTGCACTGATGTACTGATGTTTCTTTTCTCCTGGAGTAGATGTGACCTTTGTGCTAATTTTTTTTTTTCCTCACAGATATTCATCAAATATCAGGAATTTTATGGTCTCTGTGTTCTCAGAGTGGTGTTGATATAACTCAAGCTTATTCATGGAGAATTGTTGCTAAGACCTTAATTTTGTAAGTCAGTTCCATATGAAGACCTGAAAGCATTTCATGAGCTAAAGTCAGAAGTTGTTGGGTTTTTTTTAAAGGAGAAAATTGTAGGAAAAGCCAAGAGGGACTTGGGCAACAGCTCTGGCTTTCAGATTCTGTTTTATGTCAGTTAGCTAACACTCATCTGCAGTATCATTTACATCTGAGTTTGGGTTCCTTGACTGAGATGAATCATTGGTGATTTAAAATGAGATGAAAACTGGTGATTTAAAATGAGATGAAACCTTATGCAAGATTTCTGCTGGAGAGGAAAATGCAGCTGTAATCACTTTCAGTCAGGTACAACCACAGCTGTTCTGCACAACCGTGTGAAGAAAACTGGTAACAGTTCCTAGCAGGGACTGGGCAGTGACAATGGAGAAACACTTCAGATATGAAAAGGCATCAGTTTCTAATTACCAGTGTGATTTACCTGGGGAAGATCCACAACCTGTTGTGTGACAGATCTGCTATTGACTGATCAGGCTGATCAGGTACCCTGTTTTGAACTCTACCAGCATTCAGAGGCATCCACCTGTCAGGATTAGATAAACTCAGTCATTCTCCTAGTGCTGTTAGCTTTTCATCTTTAATCACCTCTCACTCCTTTAACCTTCCAGAGACCCCTTTCAGAGTCTGTGTGTTATGTTTTGGAATACTTTTGATAAAGTATGTTTGTTTACATGAAAGAGTACAATTCTGGATTTGGGTACATTGCTCACAGACTGCTTAGCTTATGATTGTGTATAATCACTGTGAAAAGGTATTTTATCTTCAGCTGCTGGGCAAACCAGGAGAAACAACAAACCAAAGGAATGATATTGAGCTAGCTAGCTAACTAATAACTGATAGCATTGATCCATGTGAGTTTTGACAGCTGCGATAGGAATTTTATCATCTTGCAGGAACATAAATAGCCTGTGGAGAGGCCAGAGTGCCTTCAGTAGAAGGCACCATGCAAGTCCTCCTCCTCCTCCTCGCAGCTGCAGGGTTTTGCTGGGGGCAGTACAACCCCAACACCCTCTCTAAGAGGACATCTATTGTGCATCTCTTCGAATGGCGCTGGGCAGATATTGCTCTGGAGTGTGAGCGTTATTTAGCTCCTAATGGATTCGGAGGAGTTCAGGTAAGAGTAGTAGGAAAATGGCATTGTAGCATTTAATTAATAAATCAAAATGCCTGAGATGGAAACAGCCATCTCCAAGTAACTTTGCTGTTGGAGAGGGAGGGTTGGAAGCAGTAAAAGCTGCTAGAGGCAACCCTAACAGGCCTACAGGGCCGATGTTTTTGTATCTCTAGCAGATTGGTTACAAAGGGGCATGCCTTCCTCTGAAAGGCTTCCCCTGACAGCTGAGTAAAAGATAAGACTCTTTGCCTTGTTCTGAGGGAAGGGCATAAGCACTGAGATTTGACTTTTCTAAGGCTGTCACTACTCCAGGTGCAAATACTTCCTTGTGGCTTTAGCCTTCCCGTGCATGTGCCCTTGAAAGCAGGCCCATGCTGGACCTGAGCAACCCACAGAAAAAAAGGAAAACCTCTTTCCTACCGGTCTACAAGACAGATATCTGACAGACCTGGGCTTCTGCTGTGGGAGAGAGGCTGGGTTGGGTGCTAGCCTGCCTCTGAGGTCAGAGATGCTGACTGCAGGTTTTGCCCTTAAAATGTTGAAATAAAGCAATTGATTTCTTATCAAAGTAAAGTACATAATTTTGTCTACAGGTTTCGCCTCCAAATGAAAATATTGTCATTACTAACCCCAACAGACCTTGGTGGGAAAGATATCAGCCCATTAGCTACAGGCTCTGCACTCGGTCGGGGAACGAAGATGAGTTCAGAGACATGGTGACCAGATGCAACAATGTTGGAGTAAGTGCCTTGAAAATCTGTATCTGATATGGCAACAAGCGCTGTATCAGCTGTGGGAAGGTACCTCTAAGGAGACATCTACCAAGAAAGAAACTGAAAGGGAAAAAAATCAACAGTGATGTGGTAAAGTTGTGGCTGTCACTTCATGATCGCTACAAAACATACTGAAATGCTCATATTGCTTTTCCAGGTTCGTATTTATGTGGATGCTGTCGTCAACCACATGTGTGGGGCTGCAGGTGGCTCAGGCACACACTCTACCTGTGGAAGCTATTTTAATGCTGGAAACAGAGATTTTCCAGCTGTGCCGTACTCTGGCTGGGATTTCAATGATGGCAAATGTCATAGTGGAAGTGGAGAAATTGAAAATTATGGTGATATATATCAGGTAACTTCCTCTGGCAAAAGTTTTGATTCTTTTTCTTTTTTTTTTCTTTTTTTTTTTTTTTTTAACCTGTTGTGTAATCTCTGCAGTAAGACCAAACAAAGGGTGTAGTTTCTCACAAAACCTGTGCTTAGTCACTTGACAAGTGAATGCAGTAGCGACCATAGGTACTAGTGATGCAAAATATTCTTAGAGAGGAATCAGAACATATATGTGGAAGTTTTCCCCTGAGCTGAGCCCAATGTACTCAGCTCAGCCTATGACCTCATTCTTATAGCTTATAAACTCAGCTGATCATGATAAAGAGCCCCCTTGGAAAACTGAGAGCAGTGCAAGGTGGTGCCCTGGGTGAGCAACTTACTGGTTTTTGTAGTTGGAATGTGTAGCAGTTCTTTCTCAAGCTTTTTGGCCACTTTGCAGCAATACACTGATGTTTCTGCACTTGCACTGCTTCATGTAAGGCTTGCCCTCCACTGGGTCATGTGGTTCCTGCTATGGTAATATCCTGTAACATGCATCTGAAATCCTGGGTTACAACCGTTTAAAGGTATCTCCATTTCAATCTCCACCCCAGTCCCTTTGGACCAGACCATTGTGTCTAACACTGCAATGAATTCCTTCCCTTACCCCTGCTCTGGCTTGGGCTTCTCCACAGACTACAGTCCCTCAGGGCTGTACCTGCTCCAGAAGGAGCCTTATCTATGAGCAGCAGTCTCTTCAGGAGAGAGACTATGCCACTTGCTGTGGCACAGACTTATCCACATATGCAAGGAAAGCAAAACAAGGAATTTATTCACCACTTTCTAGGGGAAGGCAGATTTTTGACTGTCTCCATGAGTGTAGGGCTCCATCATGCGTGAGGAAGAAAAATGCCTTCACTCCAAACATTATCCCCTTCTTCTTCCCCCAGCTTTTTATCTGCAGAGCATAGAATATCCCCTTGGTCAGTTAGGGTCAGCTGTCCTGGCTGTGTCCCCTCCCAATTCCATGTGGGTCCCCAGCCTACTTGCTGGTTGAGTGTGGTGAGAACAGAAAAAGTCTTAGCAAAGTTTTAGTAATTGCTGAGTAGTGCTTGCACAGAGTCATCGCCCCTGTTTTCAGCACAAATCTAAAATACAGCCCCATACCAGCTACTGTGAAGAAAATTAACTATATCTCAGCCAAAATCAGCACATTTTTCATCCTTGTCCCATAGCATTTACATCATGCTCACATATAACACTATCCAATCAAACCACCACCCCCCTCCACCTTCTTTGATACAATACACAGATATAATTTCTTTTCTTTTCTTTTTCCTCTGTTGCCCAGGTCCGGGACTGCCGCTTGGTCAGCCTTCTGGATCTGGCCCTGGAGAAGGACTACGTGCGCTCCAAGGTGGCTGAGTACATGAACCATCTCATTGATATTGGCGTGGCAGGCTTCCGGATTGACGCTGCCAAGCACATGTGGCCTGGAGACATTAGGGCGTTTCTGGACAAGCTGAAAGATCTAAATACTAAATGGTTTCCTGAAGGAACCAAACCATTCATTTTCCAGGAGGTAATCCCCATGTTTTCCCTTGTATGTTTCTTTTTGTCTTTCGTATCTCTTTTACCTTCCTCCTTCAGAGGAGGCAATACAATCTTCATCCAACTTACCCCACAAGGAGCTTTCTTGGGAGCAGTGCTGCACACATAAGTAATTTTGCTTTTTAAAAATGCCTCCACAACACACAGTGAGTCAACTTTACCTTTTCTTTCTTCAGTCATGTTTTTACGAGTCCATCATGTATTATGCCAACTTTGGATTGATTTACTCAGCAGAAATGCACATACTTAAATACTTTTTTTATCAGCGTAAAGAAAGAACTAATGTTGAGTTCTGTACACTGCATTTTTGTTCTCTGTGAGGCAAGAACAGATGCACAGATTTTCCTTCCTATACCAGGTAATTGACTTGGGTGGAGAGCCGATCACAGGCAGCGAATACTTTGGAAATGGCCGAGTGACAGAGTTCAAATACGGTGCCAAGCTGGGGACAGTGATCCGCAAGTGGAACGGAGAAAAGATGGCCTACCTAAAGTAAGGATGGAGGTGCTGCTATTTATCTGGTCTACACTGGATACAGCAATTGACAGGGTGGCTTCAGCTCTTTGTGTTTTTGGCCAGGAACTGGGGAGAAGGCTGGGGCTTTGTGCCTTCCGACAGAGCCCTGGTCTTTGTGGACAATCATGACAACCAGCGGGGGCACGGGGCCGGTGGGTCTGCTATTCTGACCTTCTGGGATGCCAGGTAAGGGATTGCTCTTGTCTGGGTGCTGCTTCTTTGTTTGGCTTGTCTTGTCTGTCTGTTCTCTGGCAGGTTTCTGTTTCCACATCTGACAGCTTGTTTTGTCCATCCAACAGGCTCTATAAAATGGCAGTTGGTTTCATGCTGGCCCATCCATATGGGTTCACACGTGTGATGTCAAGTTTTCGCTGGCCAAGATACTTTGTGGATGGAAAGGTAGGTTTGCAATGCTGAAGATGCATTTGTGTTGAATAAGGCCCAAAGCAGGGTACTAGAAGTAGTCGAGTGTGTTTCAGTGTGTTAAGGGATTTCCCTGTGCTGGTGCAAATGTGATGCTCTGTCTATCTTTTCTCTGGCAAGAGGCTCTCTGCATTTTCAGTGAGAAATTAGAGAGTTTTGAATTACAGGACATCAATGACTGGGTTGGACCGCCAAGTAACTCGGATGGCTCAATAAAGCCTGTGACAATCAACGAGGACACCACCTGTGGCAACGACTGGGTTTGTGAACATCGCTGGCGTCAGATAAAGTAGGACCCTGTGGGAGAAAAAAAAAAAAAAGTGAAAGCAGTTGCTTTTGCTTGATGTTCCTTGTGGCTTTAGAGCTCTTGCAGCTGCAGTGACAGCCATTCCTGGTATTTTCAGGAACATGGTTATCTTCCGTAACGTGGTGGACGGTGAGCCTTTCTCCAACTGGTGGGACAACGGCAGCAATCAAGTAGCTTTTGGCCGTGGTAATAAAGGCTTCATCATCTTCAATAATGATGACTGGTAAGTCAGTGGGAGGAACAGTGTACCCAGAGAGAACCATAGCATCCCTCATCAGCAATACAACCTGAGTTATTCAAGCATATACCAAGCCTAGACAGCTCAAATCACACAATATTCCCAGTTGGAAGGGACACACAAGGATCATCGAGTCCAACCCTTAGTCCTGCACAGGACCATCCCCAAGAGTCACACCATGTGCCCAAGGCTATCATCCAAATACTTCTTGAACTCTGGCAGGCTTGATGCTGGGAGCATAGGAAATGAAGCAGGGATAGGATCAGAAAGCTCATGCTTCACATTGCTCTTCAAAGTAAGGGAGTAGCATCAGTTTCAAAAATCTTGCACGCGATATGAAATGTCTGTTTTTAAAATAATGGATAAATTGCATTTGTTTATTTTCACACAGGAATATGAGCGTCTATTTGCAAACTGGACTGCCTGCTGGTACATACTGTGATGTTATTTCTGGACAAAAGGAGAACAACAGATGTACTGGAAAACAGGTGTATGTTTCTGGTGATGGAAAGGCTAATTTCCAGATTAATACTGATGCTGAAGATCCATTTATTGCAATTCATGTTGATGCGAAATTATAACTCCAGAGAAATATCCTCCTCCGTTTGGTCTGTGCTTTTCTGTTTCCCCCATATGTGGTCCCCTGCTTTTTGAGCATAAGTGACTGTACCTAGTGAATAGTAAATGGCAATTAAATTGAAGAATAATGCTTTTTCCCTTAATTAATTGGATGTAACTTTATTACCTCTTAACTAGTGGCATTGCAGTCAGATTTTAAGGCAATGCAGCACTTCAATTCCCACATAACAAAAACACAGGAGAAAATAAAATAAAGTGAAAAATAACCCAAACCAGCATCTCAGTAAGTTAAAATGCAGTATTTTCAAGGCTGATACATGCACACACAGCTGTATCCCACAGCAGCCACGTTGTGGGCAGTCAGCTACAAGCAGTGCCTACACACAGTTTATCCCTTTCTTGTGGCAATCCAAACCTGGGGTCTTGGCCAGTGAAGGAAGCTGGGCCATGCCAAATAGTTATTCCAGTCTGTGACTTCAGTCACGCCACTGGTTACCTGGTTCCCAGTCAGTTTGTGCCCACACAAATCAAACCCACAGCTCTGCTGTCGTTATCCCCAGTGGTTTGCTGCAAATGAATGTTCACTGGGGGGGTCCAGAGGTGTCCAAGAACATCGCTGTATATGCAGGCATCGCTTACACCTTGTGTCAGTGGCTGAAACACAGCACATTCTTCTCTCTGTGGTGCATTAGACTGCCTTATTCTGTAATATCTCAGAGAATTACACAGACAGAACACAGATTTGGCGGCTTTCCCAATTTCCTTGTCAGCTGTGATGTAAAGGCGAGTGTGAGCTTTGCTTCAAGTCAGAGGAATCTTTGCACAGGAATCATTGCAACCTGGTCTGGGGAGGAAAATAGAAGAGAGTTGCTCAGATTTGCGATTTTTGAGGTAAAGATTTACTTTTAAGGGCTCTTTAGCTTTTGTGGTGGGAGAGAGAGTGTGTGTGGGTGTTGGGGCTGGTTATTGGCTCTCAGGGTGCCCAAGGGCTCAGAGCGTCTGTAAAGGCAGTCGTGGTGTGGGAGAAGTGTCCCTGGCCCAGTGCTGGATCTGTCTCCCTTGCTGGCTTTGTCCAGCACTACCTGGATCCACCCACGCAGCCCCTGGATCCACTCACTGGAGCAATGTCAGAGAGCATTAGATTCATGTGGCAGGATGTTCACAGCCAGTGCAAACCTGTTGTTTGCTCACAGGGGCAGGTCAGGGAACCCTCCTGCCCCTTTGAAGTTGATTGGCACTGCCTGCTCCTCCTGGGTTACTGTACCCATGTTTGTTTGAGCCCTGCATTCAGCTCTAACCCTCAGAAACGCTGTGATTCCATACTAGCTATTATTCAGACATTGCCCAATTCCAACTGGAATCGTCAGTCCCCATTTCAAATTACACATCCACCCCCAAGCCCCACAGCTTTTGTGGTAAATGATTGAAATGACACACATTGATCCGAGGTGTCCATAAATCAACAGGCGGTGCTGAATATGGAGAAGATTATGTGAACATATGTGGATCCACTTTCCAATTATGCTGGAGTGCAGTGAGTGTTTTGCCTAATGTAGATTCAGATAGGTCTGCATTTCACAGTGGAATTAAATAGAAATATGGAGAAAAAGAAATCATGAGACAGTTTCTTTCTTATGTGTAAGTAAAACTTTGTGGGTCAAACGTTCACTGCTTTGAAAGGCCCTGACCTGGTTTTTGTTCCTTTTATTTCAGGCTTTTTGCCACATTGCCTTATAATATGAGCACAAAGATCATGAAGAAAGCAACAGTGTCATCCAGAGAAACACCAGCTCTTTCAGATAACTCACAAAACCCAGTGTTACAGTCAGCTTTACTCACAATGGCTGTTTTTAAAAAAATTTTAGTACTAGGAAATATTTATCTTTATTGTTATAATTTCTGTTGCCACTCCTCTATATGTAAATTGAAGGCACTAAGGTGTTAATCTTGTATACCAGTAATCAGTGATAAATTGAAATTATGTTATGAAATTTATCAAGTTTAAAGTAAGATGTTTGCTGGGGCACAGGAAGATGTCTAACAGAGCTGCTGAACTGTAAAACTTTAGAATTTTGTGGGCATTATGCAAGATTTCATTTTCTATGGCAAGTGGTGCTCGCTTTCACTGGCCAACCAGTGAGTTTATTGAGGAATGTCAAAACCTGTTATAAGTGATTTTTATTTTTGCAATATTACTAGTCTCAAGCCTTCCAAAATACTATCTTAAACCCTAGAAATTTGGAGATGTAAAAGAAAGCAAAGATTTGAATAAGAGTTGGCTTTTATTTTCACTCCAAATTTGGAGTTTCCCAGGTACACTCTCTTCTCATTTTTATATTTTATTTTGAAATTTGGTGTAGAATTTAAACAGGGGAAAAGCCCCCAGACCTAATCAGCTGGGATTAAGCACACAAAAAACAATATTACCAGTTTTAGGGATATGCCACGTAGACGATTGGAAAAAACTTTGTGAGCAAAAGTAAACCCTGCTGACTTTTTACATACTATCTGGTTATCAGATGGGTTTTAAAGTGAATGAAAGAAAGATGATGGTTAGTAATAGATTATTTTTCCTTTGGGATCTGTGAAACTTCCAGAGAAGTTTAACTAGTTCTGTTATACAATTTCTTTTCAGTTCCTTCACTGCAGAAAAGCATGAATGTAGCTACTGGATCATGAAGAACTGCTCAGTTGGCATTGGTTGGGCAGAAGGTGAATCTGTCCATCTTTACTTATGATGAATAAGGTAATAGTGTCTCTGACAAACTTACCTTCTGTCCTCCTTGTTTTGTCCCTGGTTCAGCTGCTCCAGCTGCCCCCTGTTCTTTTCTCTTCTATTGTACTTCCACACACTTTTATCCCGATTTTGCTTTTCCTGCTTTTCTGCCTCTTCTGTCACATGACAAGTACCATTTCCCTCCCAGCCAGCTCTTCCTGTGTGCTCTTTGGGAAGCTTAGAGGAACTGTGTTAGATTCAGACACCTCCACTCTTTGAACAATTTCATATTTTTACAGAAATATAGTGTTCTCTGGGATAATGTAGAAAATGAACAACCCCAAAAGCAATGATGCTTTTATGGAAGCTTTTGTGTTTACGGTACACCAAAACTACTATTTTCTTTAAAATGTGCTGGAGCAACAGTGGAATGAGGCTCTAACTATTGTCCTGTAACTACCATATTCAAACAATAGGAAGCCTATAAAAGTATGATTTGGAATATCTACATTTCACAGGTACCATAATTAAAATTAAGCAGAATTTTGTTGTTCAAGCATGGTTTGTTTTGTGCTGTACAACATATGGAGGCATTTAAGGGAAGTAGACTGGAACAGAAGGAAGATCAATGCAGAGATAATTCATTTGCAGTGTAGGTACGAGAAAAATTCTTTGACTTATTTCAACCAGATGGTCTGTAAGTATCCATTATTAGCAATGATATCCCTTAGAGAACATTTTAGGGACAGTAGTTAAATGGTTTTACAGAAAAATTATAAGACTTTAACAGTTCTTGTTGTAAACTTTACTATGATCCTCTAGTTGACTGTCTTAACTTCTGACCTCTCTACACTAAGGAAATTTTGGGGCTGTTGTTAAACCTGAACAGTTAACACCTGCAAAATCAATGAGGAATAATTTATAATTTTCTCATTTAATTAATTGCACTTGTGTTTAATTGAGTGATAAAGAAAGAATGTGCTTTGCTTTCTAAATATATCTTGTGATTGTAGTGGAGTGGGAAAGGCAGTAGATAATAGTCAGTTTTGTAAGTATAAAACACTCTTTATTCACTTCAGCTTCTGACAATTAAAATACAGGAAAAGAACAATAAAATAAAGCATAGCAGTAGATGTGATTTTCTTGCTATGTCCATTTGTTTTGGCCATGTGCTCTCTGAATATGTATAAACAAAGCACACTGTACTGAATTAAGCAGAACACAGTGTTTTACTAATGGAGAAGCTACCTAGGTACATTATAAATTGGATGTCTTTAGTGTTATCAGTAGATTATGTGAGAAAAGTATAGCAATGTCCTCACAAATGAAAAGTTCCTCTGTCCCCTCAGAAGCTACACGTGGGATTTTGAGCCTAGAGCTGTATTACAGTAAAAATCTTGCAGTGGCCAGATCAGGCAACTCAACAGGGCACAATTTAATTTTGGTGAATATTTATAGTGTAATGCTTATGCAGACTAAACCAATGGTAATCAAACTGAAGACATAAGCACCTGCAAGCATTTCCTTTAGAACAGGGAACAACAATTCCCAAGGGAGCTGTGCAACTTTTCCGAACAACGTGTGTAGCTTTGTGTGAATATCAGCTAAGCATTCTCAGTAAGGCCAGTTTTAATACATCAGTCTCAAATCCCATGTTTTATCTGACTGACTACAAGGGAAAGCAAAGCAAAGTTTTCAAAATAGCTCAAGGAGAATGATGGAACTCAAAGAAAATGTGGATAAATATTTCACCTTTGGCATTGTTTACACCAACATACTTAAAAAACCCTAAAAGTGAGAAATGCAAAACCACCAAACACAGCAGAGTTAGCTTTTTAGTGGCCTCAACTACCTCCCCAAATGATACTGATTGAAGGCATGATCTGGCATTTGATTAACCCTCTGCATATCTTTTCACCTAGAACAAGAGAATTAATAGCTCTCGAAAAAGTATATCCTGTCAAAATTTTCACCTATTTTGAACAATTCCTGAAGTAAAAGTGAAAAAATGCAACTTGCTCTATTTAACCAAGAGGTGCCATTCAGTATTGGAGGTGAAAGCTGTGACACCTCCAAAATATTAAAACCATGGTCCACTTTGCACAGGAATCACACACAGTGAAGACAAAATGGATGAATTTTTATTTCAGGGGTGAGCTAGCTTTTATGTGGTAGAGCATGGAATGTGTGGAATTTGGGAGGATTTAAGGGAGTTTCATGCAAAGGAATGTCTATAAATGGAGAAATTGAGCTAAACAAATCCAAATATGGGTGAGGAGAGATAGAAAGAAGGAGAAAAGCTATAAATTTTAACTATCAGGGCCAATAAGCAGAGGGGTTACAGTCAGTGAATAGGGACAGGGCTAACAATAATTGAAACTGCAGATTACATATAAACTAAGATTTTTTCTAACAACATTGTTACTAAATTGAATAAACACAACACTTTTATAACATGAAAAGCAGTCTCTGAGGTAGGAAGTTATCTGTTGTCCAGTAGTTTAGCTGCATTTCAAAGCTGTTTTTTCTTCAGTTCTCTTTTTCTTCCGAGATTTTTCTCCACCATGAATATATCTCTTGCAGGGAACCTCCAAAAATTCGACCATGGCAGAATCTTGAAGATGGACATGGACAGGTTCTTTGTTCACTCAAAAACTGCAGGTAATACCATAAAATGCAAATTCACAAACTTTATTAATTTCAAACAATATATATTTCATTACTTTATTTATTACTTTTTATTTAATTAGTTTTATCCATATCTATCAGAATCCTGCACACAAAAATCAGACTGTTGTAATCAGAGAATGTCCCAGTAGTATGAAAGCTCACACTTTAAGGGACTGGTTCCAGGCAATAAAAGTTTTCTGATTGTATCTCTTATCTTCTGTAAGTCACAATAAAATCCCCATCTTTGTAGCTGAATTAATTTTCCTCCAACTTTTCAGTTTTAAGAAAATTATTTGGATTTGCTATGCAACATATGAGGATGCCTTCTCAGAGCATTACTGGGTATAAGTAGCAGTCACTGACAAGAAATTAAAGGAGATAAGCAAGTAAGTTGATAACTGGAAAAATAATTGTCTCAGTCTACATTAATTTCTGTTTCTAATAGTTCATAATGAGGTTGTAAATTTGTTCATTCTTTTTTCTTTTTCTCTTTATTTTTCTTTTTCCCTTTTTTTTTCCTTTTTTTCTTTTCTTTTTTTCACAGTAGTTCTGTCTCTATATGTAACTTTCAGCATAATAGTGATGGAAGTGATGCACTATAAAGCAAAGTAAATGGCTACTTGTATATGTAACTGCTCATATTTAAATTACATGTATGGACACATTATGGAAGTAAATACTTTCACATTCATCCAATTGGAAAAAAGATATGAGTTTGATACATCACAAAATTATTTATCCTTCTAGTGTGTTTAATCCACAGAGTTAAAATTACATATTTGTCAGATAAGGTGAAATAAATAGTGGTAGTAGAAAACCCATGAACTTTTACTGTACTGTCCATGAGTGGACCAGAGGGTTAAGTTTACTGAATTATTCATGGCAACCTATTTTCTCAGCTCAGTGCTGGAAACTTTTGTTCAGCTCTGCATGTATCTTATTATTTCCCTGAAACACTGCTATTTTTCTAACAGAATAAGAAGTTCTGTAAAGGGAAGCTAACAGTCTAAATTATCTTTTTTATAGAGACTGAAAAATTTTATTTGTGTTATCATTTTGTTCTAAGGGGAACAAATTAAAAAGAACACAACTCTCTTAAATTGTTGATGATGTGTTTATCTGCAATCTGTGTTTTTAACAGTCAGTCTATGAGTCTCATTTCACAATGTATTCTGAACAATATACAGGTATTTCCTTTGCAAATGTTTTCATGCTATGGCAATTTTAACTTTGCCTTAATGTTAAATCATAATGGTGGTGGTAAGAGTGAATGCTATTAGCAAATATCTTACTAAGCATGTTGTCTTTCAGACTGCATTTAATACAAAGATCTTGGTTATAAATATTCTGGTGACACTGTTTGAGACAACAGTGGTGAATTCTCTCCAGCTATTAAAGTGACAGCAAGTGTTTGGATTTTCAGGCAGTTGGCACACTAAAGCACTGAGCATGGG